GGGTAGCTTATGAATATACGGGTGATAGTGTACAAGACGTAGAGTTGAAACCGATAGTGTTTAAAATCATTCGAAAGGCTGAAGAAGTAGGTTTACTAGTGCATGCAATTACGTCAGATATGGGTTCTGCGAATCGAAGTATGTGGAAAGCACTAGATATATCGGTATATCAATCGAAATGCAACAGTTAACAATTTTTGCGTGCACCCTTATAATGATACACGAAAATTATATATTTTTACTGATGCAGTACATGCTTTTAAAAATATTAAGTGGGGACTTATAAACAATAAATTTGTCACTACCACAAGAAATCGAAATACAAACTGTCATCCGATACAGTCGAATCCGCTCATTTGTATGATCTAGCTTTATTTCAAAAAGATTCTGAATTTAAACTAGCACCGAAATTGAACGACGAAAATTTAGATCCACATTTCAAAAAATCGACATTTCAAAAAAATGCATGTAAGCAATTTTACACATGTTATAAGTTATCAGGTCAGCACAGGTCTTAAATATCTTTCTCAAGAAACTTCGAATGATAATTATATTACAACATCGTAATTTATCAAGCAAATATCACAATGGTTCGATATAATGTCTTCGAGAAACCCTGGTTTAGCACTAAGCAAATGCAATGCAGAAAAATATACAGAAACCATCGAATTTTTAAATGAAATTATCGATTTGTTTACTGGATTAAAAATTGGCAGTACAATCTGGAAATCGTTTCAAACTGCAGTAATACTATCAACATCACTCATTCAATGTTCATCATACTTGTTGAACAATAGAGGTTTCCAGTTTGTTTTTGCATCCAGATTTACTCAGGATTGTTTCGAAAATTTATTTTCTTTCGTTAAAATGAAAAACGTTATACCAAGTGCTCTTCAATTTAAAAACAATTTTAAATTGATCTGCATCTCTCAATATATGACAAACATGTCGAACAGTAATTATTTCGAAGACGACCGACAATTTTTAGAAGAAAGCCTTTGTCGCTCCCGCGGCATAGTCGCCTGTAAAGAATGTGGCTTCAGCAAAACACGTTTCGCTCAGGGCGCTAATTAGACAGTATGGAACGGTATCACCTGTGCGCTACCCCCTCTTCTGAATGGCCTCGGACCTCCAATGTGGTCTTCCATCTTCGTCTCGGCCGCCTCCTTGAGATGGTGGAAGGTGTCGCACATTAAACTACCTACCGCAGCCGCCGATACTAAAAATCCTTAGACAAATTCACAAAAAGAAATGCTACGCGAAACGCGACGACAAAAATCTCCGTGTTTCCGCCCGAAGATCGCAATAAGCGTCGGCACGCCCGCCCTCCGCGTCGGGAGGACACAGGACAAACTTTGCCGCGCTACTTTGGCCAGGTCGAATGACCCTTGTGACGGACGGTGAAAAAACGTCACGTCACAATATATATATATTAATTTAATTTGAAACTATCCAGACAGTGTCTAAAATCGACGCATAAGACAACTTTAAGATATCTTTAAGAGGTCTTTAAAAAATATCTCAAAGATTTATTCTGCTTTCTAAAATTCGATTTTTATTCTTGATTCAAAATGGCTGAACCAATATGGCGGTCGGAAATCTTTAAAATTCCTCGATTTTAATGAAATGTTCTATTAAAGAGTTTTCAATGACACTGATTTCGAACAATCTTTCCATTTCTATTCCTAATCTAAAATTTTAAAATTTAAAATATTTAACCAATTTGGCGAACGGCAATTCTATGTCGATTCTTATTTTAAGACCGTCCTAAGTAATCTCCTAAGACGCTAATATGATCCTCGGTATATGTAAGGAAAC